CAGCGTTGCCCAGAGACCAGCAGGGAGGCTGTGAGCTGGGGAGTCTGGGCACGGAGGCCTGCACTGAGCCGCGGCCTTTCCTTTGGATGGCTCTGCGCAGCCGGCTCCAACAGGCTCCGGCAGCTGCTGTTTGCGCGGAACTCGACTGTGGCTGCACTTCAGCGTTGGCCGCTTTCCGTGGCAGAGAGCAGTTCGGTCTCCGGAGCGCAGCCGTCGAGAGCCGCTCTTAGCTCCAGGGTCCACTGGGGGCTTCTCAGGTGTCCTCCAAGGCAGTAACCGAGGAGCGAGGGGGAGGTAGAGCCCCCCGGGCCTTTTGGGGCTGGAGGGCTGAATCCGGCACCTTGAGTCCTGTGTGCCAGAGCCGAGGCAGTGTTGCTGCAGGGCCCGGCCCCTCGCTGTGCGGGCAGGCAGGGCAAAGAATGCAGACGGATTTCTTTCGCTCTCCCTCCCGGCTGTAGGAGAGGAGCCGCTCAGGTTGCCAGCGGCTTGCGTCACCAGACCTCTGCCTTCTGGGCATGTGGGACACCTCCGCTGCGGGACGGGAGCTCGCTCAGGCTTTCTCCGGGTTACGCCCGAGCTGCAGCAGGAACAGCTGCCCAGGCAACCCGAGGAGGGGACTCCGCCGCTCACGGGCTCTGTGGGGAGCGCTTTTAAGTCTGGGCCCATCAGCGCATTCTTCCTAGAGCTGACTGGGGCATCTGCATGCCACCGTCCAATTTTTCACCTTGGGCAGCAATACGCCCTGCATAATGCCAACAAAGATCTTCATCAACATTTCAGAAATGAAAGTAAGGGTAAAAGACAGCGACACCCACAAAACTCTTCCGTAAATGGCCCAGTGCTTCACAACATAGCTACTGGGGAGTGCTGTCTTGAGCTGGGGTGCCACCACTGAGCAGGCCTTGATCCGTCCTGTTATTTTTAACATTGTGTTTTGTTTTATTGTGACATGGTACGTAAGATCTGGTCTTCTGCCGTGGATTCATTTTGCGAGCCTCCCAGAGAGCCTTTTGTGGGATAAGAAACCCCAGGCACTGCACACACCGCAGAGGCATTTTGCAGAGCAAGATGTGGTGAGTGGAAGGGCTTCGTGTTTTTTGTTTGCTGAGTGGTGCAGCCTGCTTCTCAGGCAAAAACAGCAGACAGCCTGGCACTGATTCCTTCCTCATCTGATTTTGTTAAAATGCACAGAAATGCAAGCATCCACGTGTTTCCCCCAAAGGGCCCAAAAGCTCCTGAGCAGGTGCGATGCTTGGCAGGAAAAGAACTTAAGGGACTGGCTTCAAAAAGCCTTTCCTCTGTACTGGTCTTTCTGCCTCAGCCACTGCAACCCCCCCAGAACCACAGAAGGACGCATGTGCGCATTTCGGCCCCTCCACTGACCACGGGCTCCCTCACCCTCTCCTACGCGACCTCAGGAGAGGCTGCGCAGTGCTTGTGCTTTTCAGCCACTCCTTGGTTTCTTTACTTCGCAGGTGCCTCGGAAAGGGTCCAAGGTTCACAGCAGGGCAAAGGGCTTGGTCCAAAGTCTTTAGAGATGTCTCCACTGCGACAGCCAGAAAGAGGAAGCTCCAAGTCCATTCCTCAGTGTGGGAGATGCACAGTTGTGCTACGGTGTGGGGAGAGGAAGGTTGTCTTCTTAGGATCAAGGGCTACAGGAAGACCATGAGGGATCTGAATCCAGATAGTCTAGTCCTGCCAACTTCAGCTATGTTTGCATAACAGGTGGATCCCAAATGTCTTCCACAGGAGGTGGTTGAGGAAGGAGGTTGAGGCCCCTTTGGTGGGGGTGTTCAAGGATAGGCTAGACATGCACATGGTGGGCATGTCATGAGCAGAGCTGGCTGGAGCTGGCTGGAGCCGGGGGTCAGACTAGATGGCCAGACTAGATGGCCTGCCCCTTCTGACTCGCTCTGTTTCTCTGTTTCTGTGTCTTCCCTGTGCGGCACTGGGCAATCTTGCTCCCAATCCACATTTAAAGATCCGAAGAGGTGGCTGTTGCTATTTTGCAGGATTCTTGGAAGGGCAGGAAATCATTTTTTTAAGGAGCCAGTATTCATGCCAGATTTGTACTGGCTGGGATGATAGGATCTGCAGTCCAGCATACCTGGAATGCTGCAGGACAGGACAAGCAGTGTAAGGTGTGCTCTCTCTTGGAAGTCCTCTTCCATGACCCCAGCCAGAAGAGGGTCACGCGGGATGAGAAATGCTATTTGGGTTTAGCCAGGGATGCTGACCTCTCCCAGATTCCTTCCAAGGCTCAAGGGTGGCAACGGCCGCATTCGTACCCTCCGTGCAGAAGGGGCAGGTTGACCCCACTAATTGAGATCTGTGCGGGGGGCTCTCCTCCGCGAGCCATCTCTTCGGGAAGCAAGAAGGATGGCTGCAAGGAAGAGCACCTTTTCTGCAGCTCTCCCCGTATCTGGATTGCTCTCCCTACGGCGGTTTGCGTGGAGCCTTCCTTATACACTTTTCAGTGCCAGGCAAAGCCCTACCTTAAAATATATTAATACTCGACGCCACTAAACCTCTATTTGTATTTTATTTGTATTTTAATTGATGCAGTTTGTTTATTTATTGGATTTAGAAGTAATTGCTGCTTTAGTTTTCAAGGTCTGATTGTGAGCTGCTTAGAGAGACTGTGGCACAAAAGGCAGCATACAAATGCTTTAAATAAATAAATAGTTGAAGAGCCACATTTTAAGCAGGTTAAGGGTGCAGCCGTATCCATGTTTGGCCAGTATGGTTGACTGAGGCATGCTGGGAGTTGTAGGTTGCCTTCCCATCAGGACACACAGAAGTTTGTACCCTTAGAGGCTCTCCTTCAGATGCTTCTGGAATGCTTAGGAAAACAGTGAGGGGGGGGGGGCATGATACAGGTGTGCAGAATTATGCTTGGTGTGCAGAAAGTGGAGAGGGAGACATAACTCCCATAACTGTCATTCCATGAAGCTGGTGTGTGGGAGATTTAGGACAGGCAGAAAGCACTTCTTTACACGGTGTGTGGTTGGAACTATGGAACTCACTGCCGTGGGATGTGGTGATGGCCACCAATTTGGGTGGCTTTCAAAGCAGACCAGGCAGATTCACGGAGGAGGAGGAGGAGGAGGCCACCAGCACTGACTGGTCTTGGTGGCTCTCTGCGCCCTCCTCCACCAGCATCAGCATGCCCGCAGCACACCAGTTGCGGGTGGAGGCCTTGCACCCCTCCTGCTTGAGGGATCCCGAGGGCAGTTTGCCAGGGGGAACGGAGAGCGCGACTGTGTGGGCCACTGGTCCGACCCCGCAAGGCTTTTCTTGTTTCCTCATGTTCTTACGCATCTTCCCATGGATCAGGGTGTTGGGCTTTGACTGTGGACTTCTGAATCCCACCTGAGTGGGACGGTGTGACTTGGTGTCCTGCAACAGCAGGGGGCTGGACTCGATGGCCTTCTTGGCCCCTTCCAACTCTACTATTCCGTGGTTCTATGAATCTGTCCTCCTTCCACCCTGCACCCGACCCCACACACATGTACGAAGATGAGAGTAGAACCCAACTCTGCATACTCTGCAAAGAAGTGGCCACCGAACTTTGGACTCGCCCAGAGGCAGCCTCGTCTTTCTGATTCCTTCAGAGTTTGCGGGCTGAGCTCCCACATCAAATTCAGCCCTGCAGTGTCAAAGGGAACCCCGTCGGCCAACCAGGGCTGGTCCGACCGGTAGGCAGGGTGAGGCCATCCCCTCAGGCAGCAGCTGCTGGGAGCTGCCCCAAGGAGCTGGCGGAGAGTCCCTCGCGCCATGTGGCGCCATTCTGCTTTCTGACTTCCAGTGCTGAAGACTGATTAACCTGCTAGTTCTGTTGGCCTTTGTCTGTGGAATGGGAACGGGCACCATCTTGCTCTTCAGTTCAAAGTGTCACGTCCGATTCCTCTACAAATGACATTACCAGCCCATCCTTCCTCCAGGACGCGGAAAGCTCACCCATCCACTGGGTCATACAACCCATGAAGTAGGTGCGTCTGAATGCGACTGGCCCAGGTTTGCCAAGGTCCGCTGTATCCCCTCCTCGCACTCAGACTTTGCACGGGCCGCGGTTGCATCTCACCCGTTCCCTGCCCATTAATTTTGCTGTAACTGCTCCCTGGATGGATAATTGCTGATTGAGTTGCAGTTAAGCACAGCACAGCACCAAGGTCATTTTGCGCGTTAGTTCCTGGAGAAAGAGACATCGCGCGGGCGCGCCGCCAGGGGACGGGACCCGGTGCTCGCGCTGCGGCGAGGCGCTCCCCCCCGAGCCGGCCGGCGGCAAAGGCGCTAGTCCGCGTGGCCCGGGCGGCGCGGCCGCGAGAGGCGCGTGGGGGGCCTGCGCGGGCCGCCCCGCAAGTGCGCGGCCCGCGGGGAAGGGGGTGCTCCGGGGCCGGCCGGCGGGCGAGAAGGGCGACGGAGGGCAGCCCCGCGCGGGCGGGCGGCCCCCGCGCTGGAAGGCCACCTGACGGAAAGGCGCAGGGCGCGGAACATGCGTGCACGCGTGCAGACGTGCACACGGGGCCCGGAGGGAGGGGCCTTCTGGGCGCGCCTCTCGCTCGCTCCTCCTCCGGCGAGCCGCTGGGAGAACCTCTCGCTCTCGCTCGCTCGCTCGCTCGCTGGCTGGCTGGCTGGCTGACGCCGCGCTTGTCCCAGCGCTCCGGCTCGCCGTCGCCCGGCTCGCGGCCGCCGCCCGCCCGCCCTGCCTCCCTCCCTCCCTCGGCCGGCACGCCGGGCGAGCGCCTTCCCCACCCGGAGCACCCCGGGCGGCGGGCGGGCGGGCGAGCCGGCCAGCCAGCCAGCCAGCCAGCGACC